ATAGATATTTTCACAGGCCAGAGAGTATCTATGTCTGTTTGGGTTGCTGTAACAAACTGCAGGTGACTGGGGAGCTTAGATATATTACTTACCCTTCTGGAGGCTGGGAGGTCCTGACCAGAGCACCAGCAGGTTCAATGTCTGGTGAAATCCTGCCTCCTGGTTCATGGGTGTCTGCATCCTCCTGAGGAGGGCAGGGGAGGTCTAGGGGTTACATTCTGCTCAGGGTTCTGCTCTCTCCCTAATCACTTCCCTGAAGCCCCACCTCCTATTAGTGTCACTTTGGAGTTCAGAACCTCAACGAGATTTTGAATTTTAGGGGGATTCATTCGGCATACATAGCTAGAAAACAATGGAGCTGGAATTTGAGAACAGGCAACCTAAGTCTAGAATCCATTTTCTCACCCACTATGCAGTACTTTTTTTCTGAAAGTAGATGCGGTTCTGGTAAAGACAAGACAATAAATGCATCATGCAGTGGCAGCTTAATATGGATTCAAACTCCAGGGTCTCCATGTCCTCAAGGACATTGCTCCAGTGTGGTCCTAGGTGTGGCAAGAGCCAGGGAACACATGCTTGCTGTGTAGGGGGCAGATAGGTCTCACTATGTTGAAGGCTTCAGATTTGTTTGTTTTTATCAAAAGAAGTCAGAAATCTAGACTTTAATGGAAAGCTTCCAATTCTTAAAATTACCTGATTATGAATGACCATGATTCGGGTAATATATTGCTCTCTAGCAAATCTCAAGTCTCAGTGAAATAAGAACAATTAAAAGTTTATTTCTTCTTCCTGCATACTGCCCCACATAGGTAAGCTGTGGTCTCTGCCTTTTTTTTTTTTTTTTCCAAATTAATGGATGTTCTACAGATTAATGGGTTTCCTTTGGGAAGATTCATACATTCATATGACATACTAAGACACTCAATTCTGTAATACTGCAGTAGTGAGAAAGAGACCTATTAACCATCCTTAAAACTTCTCCTGGAAATGATGCAGGTCACATGGGCTCATATGTCACTGACCAAAGAGGTCGGTGGCCACAGATAGCTTCAGTGGGACTAGGGAGAGGGACTCTTCTGAGCCGAGAGGAGGCGCTGCTGTTCGTGAGTATCCCTGGTGGCCACCACAGCTCCATACATGCTCATTTGTAAGACAAATGCTAAATTTTCCCCTGAGATAGAACCCAGTTTTTAGGGTTTTCAAACAGTCATTAAAAAATGACTTGGTTTTGAGGGATTAAATTTTATTATCTGGACAAAAATCAGATTTTGCTTAATTTGGATTAATGACACTTATTTAAACATTATCTTCTTTTCATTGATTAGTAAAGCATATGCAGACACTATGAAATAATTCTTAGCTAAAATGATGATTTACAGATGAGGACTCATTCCGATGAGCACTGCTCCTGTGTTGAAAGTATTTATGTTATCTTCTATCTTGTAACTTGCCTCATTAACTATGCTGGAAGATAAAGATCTTGTCTGAGTAATTTATAGTCTGCAGTGCTTGGAACTATAGGAAATGGTTATTTAATAGATGTTAATACATTTTATTGATATTTCTCCAGTTAGTAGTCTATAAATCATTATAATTGGATATTCTGATATCAGGAGATGTCACAGCAGTTGCAAACACTTCAGACAGCTTTTGAAAGCTGTTTAGTGTTGATTATGGTGGAAACCGAAGTTCTGCTGTCCCTTAGCTACAAGGGCAGATTTGGCTGATGTTCTATGAATCATAAGACAAACCAGCCTTCTTCCATTTTTCTGAGATGTTTTCACATGCTTTATTTGGCTGTAAAATTTGGATGATTTTTTTTTTATTTGGATGAATTTTTTTTATTTGGATGAATTTTAACTTAAAAAATTGTGAAGCAAACACAAGTGATTGGAGAAGAATTTGATTGCCCAAGAATTTGTAAGGCCTTAACCACTTCCAAACAAGTCCACCCCTAGCTCCTAAATCCACACCCTTCCTGGATGAACAGATACAGGGTGACTCTCATTCTTGTGAAATTTAAAGTGCTCAGGGACAGGGATGTGTGAGGACAGAACTTGGCCCAGGACAAGAGTTTCTCTAACTTCATGGTGGAATTATTCCCTGCGGAGAAGGTTGCGTGAACACAGTTACTCATGGGTCCAATCCCAGCCATGCAAGAGCGTTTCCAGGATAATCATTCTTAAATTCTTCCACATGTACTTGTAAATATTCATATATTGGCCCCTGTAAATGGGATTTTTGTTGTCCATCTGCTGCTCCTAAAGGCGAGAAGGCGTGATGTTGTATTAAGATTCTGCTGTCCGATAGCCTGGGTTTAGAAACCATCCCTGATGCCATATACTAGCAGTGTTGTGTTGCCAATTGTTTAACCACAGTGACATTTAGATAGTGTCCTTATATATGAAATAAAGATAAAAGATAATCTCATGACCCGTGTCATAGATTCTTGTGAAGGCTTGGTGGAGTAACATGGCACATGCATGGCATAGTTCCAGGCATGTAATAAGGATTCAGCAAAGAACCAGCTACTATTAGTTGTATTTATTATTATCTTTATAAAATTGGGGAAAAGGATCTCCGAAGTCCCTGGATTTAGCTACTCACCCAACAATGTAATCCCCTCTACAGGCTACTTGCTAAGAAGTCTTTGACTTTTCAAGCTTTTTCATATGGGACTAAATTGAACCTAACTTCACAGCTTTCACCATTTGGAAAAGCACGGATCTAATGTGGACCCTTCTGTGCTTCTAGCCCCTGAAAATAGCGCTAAGCATAGCTGTTCTCTAATCCTCCTTGGAACTTTCCCCACCTTTCCGTGAAACTTTCCTTTTGCCTCTCTTCTTCCCTTTCACACCAAAGTTTTAGAAAAATGTGGTTTGAACTTGTGTCAGTTTTATTTTCTCTTCTGCACCTTAGGAGTAGACTCTGAGTTATCAGCTAACTCAAATTGAAGCAGAGGGAACAGGGGAGGAGAGTAGGACAATGGGGAGAAAGGACCAGAAACGATCAAGACACATTGCATACCTAAACCACTTCCCCAAACAAACATCACCATTCTGTGTTACACACGTGTGTTCATTAAAAGAAGATAAATTGCAATGATAAAAAGTAGTAGACCCTCTGAGGAGTGCAAAGTACATAATTGTGTTATTGTCTCTGTTGTGCTGTTGAGGAAAAAAATGAGTCTCCAAGGGCCCGAGTTCTTCAGCATCCTGAGGTTGAAAGACAAGGTAAGTCAGGGTTTGTAAATGCCTTGTCTGCTCTCAAGTTAACCATCAGCTTGATAGGTACAAAGTTGGATGAGTATGATGGTAGAGGTGGACCATGTGATCAACTAATATTATTGGGTACACATTATGCAAAAGGCATATTTATGAAATTAAAAAAACCACAGATCTGGCTTACACACACAGACTTGACAACATGCAAGCAAGTGAAAGTAACAATATAAACTTCTATCTGAGACATCTCCTGATCAACTTCTTCTCTTTCTCTAAATTTTATTTTAAAGAGGAAAAAAAAACCCAAAACAACAAGAACAAAGCAACATGAAACAGTAAAAATGGTACAGAATTTCAAAACAAGAAAAAAAAATTAACAATGGTTGTTATATTACATATTTGTTATCATTAAATTTGTTGCTCAGATTGCCAGGTACAGGCATGCAAGATTGATGAAACAATTAAACATTAACTCTTCATAACTCCTTCTCTTCAATATTTGCTTATAAATATATAGAAATCATGAGATGGAGGTGGAGATACATAGATATAAATACAGATAATAAGAGGAGATATGAAGACACAGATTAGAGACACATGGACATATTGGTGTAGAAATACAGGTTTGTGAGGACACCTGGACTAAAAGGTGAAGCAGATTCAGCGTGGTGGCTGTTTGGGGGACAAAATGAAACAAAGACAGGGTGAGGAGTTAGGAGAGGGCAGGAAAGAGAAAGAAATATTTGTGTCTCTTTCCATCCACAGAAATATCTGAATAAAATATGAATGAAAAAGAATGAGATGGGCCAACAAGATAGCTCAGTGGACTAAGCACCTGCTTAGACAAGCTCAGGGACTGGGATTCAATCCCTGCCACCACATGCTGAGCCAGCACTGCCCCCAGGTTCACTGAGCCAGCCACCAAGACCAGGCATGGTGGTGTGCACCTATAATCCCAGTGCTGGGGAGGCTGAAAACAACAGAAGCACTGTGAGTCCGAGCTGCTTAGTGAGACCCTGTACCAAACACATACATATGAAAGAAAGGAAGGAAGGAAGGAAGGAAGGAAGGAAGGAAGGAAGGAAGGAAGGAAGGAGGTAAGGAAGGACAGCTTCAGTTCCTCTAATTTGGGGAGGCTTGCCTAAGAATTATACAGGGGAAGGGGCTGGGGAGATAGCTCAGCGGTCTAAGCACCTGCCTGGCAAGTGCGAGGACCAGGGTTTGATCGCTGGTAGCCCTTACTGTGCCCATGTGCTGGCCACTGAAACTGGGCATGGTGGTATACTTGGGTGTGGTGGCGCACACCTGTAATTCTGGCTTTGGAGAGGCTGAGACAGGAGGATCACTACAAGTCCAGGCTGCATAGTGAAACCTTGTACCAAATAAATAAATAATTTTTTAAAAAGGAATTATACAGAGGAAGATGGTAACATGGGGCATGCCTGTAATCCCAGCACTCTGGAGGCTGAAGCAGAAAATAGCGAGTTCCATCCCAGTCTGGGTAATTTTAATACTTACCAAGAGCCCATCTCAAAAATAAAATGATAGAGCTGGGGAGATGGCTCAGTAGAATAAGTGCTTCCCTGGCAAGTGCAAGGGCCTGAATTCAATCTCCAGCTCTAGGGGAAGGAGCGGGGAGAGAAGATAAACTATAAATAAAATAAGATATAAATAGGATAAAGTAGAAATTAAATAATACATGATACGTAAAAATAAAAGGGCTGGGGACAGCTCCCTAGCCTGCGCCCTGCGCCCCTGACCCCTCTCTCCCCGCAGGCGGTGGGCTGTGACCGGCAGCTGGGCAGCGTCGCCAAGGAGGACAGCTGTGGAGTCTGTGCCGGCGACGGCTCCACCTGCAGGCTTGTCCGGGGACAGTCGAAGTCGCACGTTTCTCCGGAAAAACGTAGGTTTTGAAGCCCACTTCGATGTCACCACACAACAAGATGTATGTTACACTCTCTGTTTCTAGATTAACATTTGCCTAATGCTAAGCTTTTGTGGTTGGAAGTAACTTTGATCAAGTTTCTAAATAATTTCTTTCAAAAAGTACATAAAATTTCTCTTGTCAGCAGCTTCCCAGATGACCTTTTTTTTTTTTGACTCTTTTACGTTGTGAAGGGTTGCTATTTTTAATAATATCCACTGATTTTGGTATTAAATATGAAGTACTAATTTATTTTTCCTCCTTTGACTACTAACAAGGTGGAGAATGTTGTCATTTATTTATTAACGATTAGTTTTTCAAGTATGTAGCCTTTGAAGCTATTTATCCATTTTCCTATTCTTTAATCTTTTCTTTCTCATGTGAACTTTTTATGCGCTGCAAACCCTAAGCTTTCATTTGTCGTGCCTGTTTTGAATGTCATTTTCAAATCCAACTTTTGTTTTTGTTTATGCTTGAAGAAAAGGTCATTTCTAAATGTATTCACAGGTTTGCATCATCTTATTTCAATACTTTCTGTCTTTGATTTCAGGGCCCAGTAAACTTTTAGTGTTAAGGACTAGTGAGAAAGCGCTCTGGGCTGTGTACTGCCGGTGCTAACACCACCAGGGGCCCGCAGACAACCGGCTCATACAGTGTGCCAGTAAAACTGGATTTATGAAAATAGGCTGCAGGCGAATTTGTTCCTTAGGTTGTAGTTTATTGTGATTTGATCTTTGAAGGGAAAAAATAATTCATGTGTATTTTTCTGCCAGTACTTGAATGGTTTCATTTTTCTACTTTGAAGTCTTCTATTCATTTGAACTTATTACTGAAAAGTTTTTATTATCATTATTGTATTTTTTGTACTGGGGAATTGAATCCAGGGGCTTCACACTGAGATACATCCTTGGCCATTTTTTTTTTTTTTTATTTTTTCTTTTAAGACAGAGGCTTCCTAAGTCCCTAAGTTGCTGAGCCCAGCCTCAAACTTTCAGTCCTTGCGCCTCAGCCTCCCAGAGTTCTTGGAAGAGAGGTGTGAGCCACCACACTTAGCTTATTCATTTGAATTTGTTTTGAGGTGACTCATGAAATAGGGATCTTTCTTATTCCCCAAGCACAGAGGACATTATGGGAAGGGATAAAGGAAGGGGGTGTCTTACTGACAGAGGAAAACAAAGTTTATGATATGACATGAAATATCCTGCTCCTTTGAGGCGCTAGTTTTGTGTTGCTCGGGCCTGAATGTGCACTTGAGGATAGGCAGTGCAGCCTACCTGTGGTATCTATGTGTCACCCACAGAAGCCTTCATTCCTGAGCTTTACATTTCAGGCTAATTGGCCACTAAAGCCAATTAGGCTGTGGAGTGGTGAGGTTAGAATTGTGTTCTATTAAAAAAAAATTTCTGGTAGCATGTGGAGACCAGGTTACTTGTAAGTGACCATGGAACCAGAGAGCTCACATAGGGAGCTTTAAAGATGTACCCAGAGGTGTTTGAAATGTGGTGGCCTTAGTCTCAGCAGTGAGGGAGGAGATGTAGAGGGGGAGGGGCTGCAGAGACAGGCGGAAGGCAGAGTAGGCAGGAGCTGGGTGAGTCTCTGCGTGAAGACTCTCGAGAGAAAGGAATACACTAGGACCAAGCAAACTCTGAAGTTTGAGCAGATGGATATGTGCACTTTCCATTCATTGTGTGAAAAATGCATAAAAAGCACTCACTTTGAAGGAAAGGGCCCACCATCTTGGATTTTCCCTCTCTCCAGAATTCTGTCCTTGAAACTGTTCAATTTGTTGGTACCTTTTTTATTCCTTTAAACAGACTTTGATACATTCTGTACATAGTCAGAGAGTTGATCCAAAAGTCTCCCTACCATATACTCTAAGAGAAAGAGCCGAGTAGGGTATAAGAAAGCTGAAGTTGTCTCTGGAAGGATGTCTGAGTCAAGCATTTGACCAGGAAAGAGGTTTCATACAGTCCAGCTGAGAAGGAATGAAGGCTAGGTAGGACAACCATGAAATTAAAGAGAAGCGCTGTGGAAGACGAAGGCTGAGTAATTTCAAGAAGGAGGTAATTCAACCGTGTTCAATACTCTGGTGAAAACAGCTGCAATCAGGGCCCCAAATTCATTTTGGCAATTTGAAGATTATTTGTGACATTTGCAAGAGTCTGTAAGAGTGGTTCCAGTGAATTTTAGGTAGAAGATTGAATTTGACCTGATGAGTGGAGAGAAGAGGGAATGTGTGGAAGGCAAGGTTCCCAAGATGTGAAGAGGCCTGGGGCTGGGGGTTGGGTGTGTGTGTGGGGGGGTGAAAACCTAAATGTGTTCTCCTCTAAGGGGTCTGTTTGATTCTTTGTTAGAAAACAGTCATCCCCAGGAGTGAGGCATCTCAGAGACTTGAGTGTGTTCCCATTGAGGAAGACAGGAGCCAGAACTCATCAGTGGCATCAGAAAGGTAGAGAAGAAGCCAAAGGGCTTAGATGAGATTGGACACCATAGTTCAGGGAGGTTCATATCCATGAGCACCATGAAGGAGGTGGCATTGGATGGTGGGGTAGTGAAGAGGAACAGGGTCTATCCAGAGGCATAGAAAACTCAACTTACAAGTATTGGAGTTTGTGTCTTTCCTAACAAGACATTGGGAACGGGCAGTCAGGGATGTCCTGTAGCTGTTCTACGATGTCCCTCGGGATCCAGGTTCCTCTCTCTGTATCCCAAGAATGGCTTTTGTCTCTGGCTATAGAGTCATTGATGCATGTGTAGACATCTACCTGCATCCCAGGTAATGAGGAAAAAGAACATGCAAAAGGTGTTCTTGGATACCATGCTCCTTGTTCAGGAAGGGAAGTCCTCTCCAGGGACTTTTCCTTCACTGACCAGAACTGTAGCACATGACACCTTGCTTCTATGGAGGTGGGAGACCAAATGCTTAGTATTTCCATCCCACTGTTATTGTGAATTCTGATGCAACATTTAATAAATCCCAAGGTTCTGTTCAAACACAGCATGTCAAAGTCCACAAGTACTCTTACATTCTAGTGTTTTGCATTGTCAAACACATCTTACAGGACCAGAGATGTTGACAAACATCTCACAGCTTCAGTGATAAGCAAAATACAGAAGAGGCTAAGAAACTTGGGATCTGAAATCAGATTGCCTGGGTTTCAATCCTAGGTCTATTGTTTCCCAGCATGTAAGCAGAGCAAATTATTTGACTTCAATGTATATCCTGGTTCTCATTTTAAACTTGGAATAACATTAGTCATTACAAACTGGTAGTAGCAGTAGTGCCGCCTTTACAGAGTTGCTGTCAGGATGATATCAATCCGTCAGTGCTAAGTGCCAGCATCCAGAAAGTGCTGTGTAAATGCTGGCTGTTACTTCATTGGCAATATCACTCATTTGGGCCCCAAAGGATGTCACACCTCTTGCAGACCCTAAATGTGAGTAGTTGTCAACAGATTATTTTTTTAAATCAATGATCAGTTCATCTGGGGATTGTATGGAGGTATTGGAATGAAACAGTGACCTGTAGCACAGGTGGAGGAAGCACTCACCAGTGAAGGCAGTTTGGAGACGCAGACTGTCCCATGGCTATGGGGAAAATGTGCTGGGCAAGGGCCTGGAATTAGCCTTGGTCTTAAAGAGTTTGAACATCTCATCAGAGAAGACCGCTATTTGGCAGGATCCAAGAGAGATTAGAAATCAGGATATTTTGAGTTGAACCAGGCAGAGGCTGAGGGAAATGAGAAGTCAGTATTTTCTGGGGAAGTGTAGAGAGGGGGCCCTGGAAAGGAGAGGAATGGGTTGGAGTGGGGAAGAGTGAGGGCCAGGTTGGCTGAAAGGGCTCCTTCCTGTGTCCTTCCCCGTCCTCACTCTTGGTGACATTCGTATCCTCCCTCCTTCCTTCCCTCCTCCTTCCTTTTCTCTCCCTCTTCTCTCTCTCCCTAATCCCCCTCTCCTTTTTCTCTCTCCCTTCCTCTGTCTCTCTCTCATCCCCTCATTCTTTCTCCTCTGTTGGTTTCTAGCTTTTGAGTTGCAGATCTTTTTGAAGATATATTGAAAGTCCGCATTTTCTTTCCCAGAAAATGCAGATGTATTCATAAGCCCCAAGTGTGCCATTTTGCTTTTTTTTTTTTTTTTTTTTAAGTAATGGTTGTCAGACCTACGATGTCCATTTAAGGCATCTTTGGGTAAGCACCCCTAAAATGTCACTTGTCTGTTGTCAGCTTCTGTGGAGGAAGGGGGACTGGAGCACATAGACCGCTCCTTCCTTCCAAGCTCAGCGTGAGGACCAGGTGGTTGGCTGCTGCACCCGCAGGATGCTGGCATCTCCCAGGGTCCAGTTCCATGTGCTGAGTTAAAGCTTCTTAGAATCAGCCTACCTGCAAAGTAGCGCAGCTCTTCTGATCCTTGCTGCAGCTCCTTCTTGGTAGAAGCTGGTGTTGGCTGGGATTCCCCCAGGCCATATGGAAGCACTTCCCTATAATCATGTTTTGTGTGAAGGAAATGTAATAAATAGAGCCACGTCTTCCCCCCAGTGTGAATCACCAGGGCCTGCGGGGTTCACACAGCCCCTAGTCCTTTCCCTGCTTCCCTGGGACTCAGCCCATGGTGGAATGGAGCTGGAAAATGCTGCTGGCTCAGCCCATGCAGACTGCACATGGGACACTCTCCTGTCCCGCAGTGAGGCAGACACAAGGTGTCAGAGCCTAGAGCCAAAAATTTGCTTATGAGAAAAAGCAGAAATCAGTCCAGATAAAATACACACATTCCCTGTTGTAAGGGAGGAGGAGAAGGACTGCACAAGCCATCGGCACATGTAGATTTGGGTTTCAGAAGGAACCAGAGGCCTCTTAGGTCTTTAAGGGAGAAGAGTCTAATGAGGCCCAATAAAATGAAAGCTTCAGTGTTTAAATTAGCATTATTTTAGATGAAAAAAATCATAATTGCACACATGCATGGGGTACTAGGTGATGTTTTGA